TGTAATATGCTGGGACTTTTACACGTCCCTGCGGAAAAGTCCATATTGGACCCCTCATAGTAAAGATCGGGAAGCATGCATAGAATGCCTCTCTCTCCCATTGCTATGTTTGGGATGGCATGGAGTAGGATGACTGAAAATCTTGGGTTCGGTGGTGTAGTGGTAGCGTTCTCAACCGCCAATCTCGAGGCCCTGGATTCGATTCTCGCCCCTTCATCATTTCGTTCTCTTATGTCATCCGAACTCTTCACCCTTCCCCCAGGCTATCACGTTCTCCAGAATAGATCCGACAATCGCAACGGCCAGGAAAAAGAAATGCAAGTCCAAGAGAGGGAGACGTACACCAAGAGGCATGCAGAAGACTCTACCGTATGGTGAGAGCACACATAAGCGCATCATGTCATGTGTGGGTGTGCATGCCCCGAACCACCGACCACTACCATCACCACGGACCACAGTAGAGTTCATTATATAGATGACATTGCACAAGAGGCATTAGGACATCCAGTGTACCGGAATGAGCACCTTTTTAGCACTCAGTTAACACGTTGGCGACAATGCGTCCTGATGCCAGGATGCATATTTTTTTTTCAATGAATACCCTCTGGAACTGTTGAGAACTGCGTGGTCCCACGCGGCGGACAAGCAAAAATAGGCTGGTCGTCAACGTGTTAAGGTGCCTTTTAATCACGAACCTTCTGCATTTGAAGGACATTCGTCGAACGTTTATGATATTTTCTTCAAACTTATCATTGGTATCCATTTAACATTGGCTGAAAGAAAAAAGGGTCGCACAACCGAAGATAGATGGCGTCAAAGTAGTCGCTATAACGGGTCAATTCCTGATACAGCTTGAATTAGTCCACAATACTTTCCACAATGTAGCCGAACTTTCTCTACATTAACCAGAGCGGAAGATTCCAAAGTTCTTGAACAAATCCGTCATTAGAGATATCCCAATCCAAGGAGTCTCCAGAGAACTCAAGCTCGAACGAGAGAGGGAGGATGGTTCAAATTCCAAGGTGACTTCATGAAAAATAATGTCAGCATTCATAATCATTTCTCTCATAAAAAGGGTTTTCGGTAGATAGAATGTCTGACTCCTGAATATAAGATATCTGCAGATACCATGAACATTTATGTTGTAAGACTAAATTTCCCCACTCTTCTCCACCAGACTATCCCAGTCAGTGTAAGATAGTACCTTCAATCCTACTAATCAGCCACATTATGGTTTGTAACTCCAGCCACGTGAGTAGGGCTCTACTTAGACCGAATGCAATATAAGTGTTGAACATAACTTATCAAAAACGCTAATTGCATATTGGATGAATCCTGAAAAATAAAGTTTTATCGAACACTTTCCATAGAAATATCCTATTCAAGTTAGTTCAGTGAACTCATGAATTGAACTGTTTTTCATTGCTTTGAATTTTTAACATTTTGGTAGTCAATAGAGCGTTCCCAATGACGTCAATGGAACGATCGCAGTAAGTTGAATGGAACGTTCATTGAACATGTTCGGGTGCTACTGGGGTGGTAGTCTCTGGTTCCACGACAACATATCATTTCGTTTCCTCTGGTTTGCAGCAGGATTACCAGCCACTAGTAGATAATACAATAATTTGCATCCCCTGCGAGTTTTACGTGAATTGGTTTACTTTATAATGGCGAACTTGTAGGAAATTCTAAAGTAAATAATATTTTCGGGATTCAAATTGAATATTAATTTTTTTACTCATTAGAAACTCTTTATGTCACAAATGCTGCCATGGTCATGGTCGATGAAAGTTTTACCAATTTATGACTCGCCAAACTTTCCGTTGATTTGGTGATTTTTACGCTTGAATCTCGATATTACCCAGCCCAAGACAACTTAAATCATGTATGTTCTCTTCAACGAAAGCAGTTCGTGCTACCCTCATTGCATGCTGGTTGTGTTTCCGAATGGGAGGTTTCCCATGCTATGAATTTCCATCTGAGTGTTATGGTTCTTGCGTGTTTTTTTTAATATAAATATCTTCATAATGTTTTGTGCAATTATACTTCTCCTTATTACCTAAAAACATCCAGTGTTTCGTGTTTACTGTCACCTCTTTCGCCAAAGGAACAAACCCTGAATTTTTCATGCTTATTGCGTTGATTCTCTCACTTGAATTCATTAAATGCAATATAAATTCATCCAAGCGCCAATCACCGACGAGCAGTCAGCCACCAAGATTGTTGTGATGGTTATGAAAATTTTCTTTAGGTTTCTCCTCTCGTCGTTTCTTCATTTCATGAGTCACGAAGTTAGCATTCAAAGAACCTACTACTTCTTTACTTTCCAGGAGTGTCTATGCCAACTGCGAAGCTCATATATTGTCCCATGAATAAATGTCCCATCATTAAGTCATTTGATGAGTCATCAGATTTTACTGGGGCAAACCGGATGTGGGCGGTCCACTGCCGCCTTCCGTAACGATAGGGTTAATGGTAGGTAAAATTAGTTGTTCATCATACTATTCTTCAAATTGATGAGTTTCAAGGAGGCAAGTTACTAGTCACCATCCAATATTTTGAAAGACCTTCCAGATACAACTGATTTTTGCTTCAGATGCTCATAGGCCTGTGAGGTTTTTTCCTACTCAGAAGGGGAATAGAACGTAGAATGGGGCTCTGTGACTCTGACAACAGCTCCCCCGCAAAACATTCCATGCCATCTTGCAGTATAAGGGAAAATCTACTTGATGCATGAACCTGTCACGTATCTAATATACGATCGTGACTGACTGACGTTAATTCTAACCATGTTCTAGAGAAGTTAGAAATCTGAAACTTGGTACACATGTCCCTTTTGGAATGCAGAGTTCAGAAAAAATCCGACTTTGGAAGTACATGCTCTGGGGGCACACATTTTGGGGGGAGAAGTTTTCAAAGGTATATATTGTGACGGATTAGGATGGCATCGAGAGGCTTGACAGGATGTCTCGGGTTCGGTGGTGTGGTGGTAACACACCTGACTAGAAATCAGGAGGCTCAGGTTCAAATAATGGAAGTTCCTTGGAGGAATTTTTTTGCGGGGCGATGTTTAAAAAAAAGTGTCGTGGCGAATTAGATAGAAATGGAAAGGTATAACATGGCACACGTATAAGTGACACGATATTATTGAGTTGAGGGAGTATTCAGCTTTAATGGTGCAACCCCTTTATAACATGGCACACGTATAAGTGACACGATATTATTGAGTTGAGGGAGTATTCAGCTTTCATGGTGCATCCCCTCCGGGCATAGCTTTTGGGTGGGTCGGCTTTTCCAAACATGTTTTTTCACCAGTGAAAAGGGCATACATATAATATTGAAACTTTGTGGCCATGTATTTCACTTAGGATGGATTTCGGTAAATAAACAAAAAATGGTACTTTTTCAGTTAAAATGGTTCATGGCACGTTTTCCAAAAGGAGTATTTTCCCAAATTTTCTGGTCCAGCAAAACGGAGGGCGCTAGAAAGTCTAAACTTGGCAAAGAAGAACCTGATGGATAGCTGAGTAAGTAAAAAAGTATACTTTTATTATACTGTATATAGACAATCTTGAGCAGCTGACCGACTGACATAAGTAGCTATTCGCATGCTTAGTTCAGGAAAAAGTATACTTCGGTGATACATGCCATAGGGGCACGCCTTTTCGGTGAACATATTTTCATATAATTCTGTTTCCTTCAATGAAACTGAGACACATGGAAAGCTGAAACTTGGCAAGAATGTGACTGCTGACGCAGTGAGGTCAGGACAAATGTCACATTTCCAAAATATTGGATTTTTGGAGGGATATTTATTGGGGACTTTATTTTTTCCATTAATTTCTCATATCCAAGCGAATCGGGCAGAAATAGAGAAGTATGCAGCTGGCACACGCATAACGGACGTGATATTGATTTTAGGAGAAATTCAACTTTTGCTGTGCGTCTCCTCAGAGGACAGGTTTTGGGTGGGTCGCTTTTCCAAGTCACTTTTTTTATCGCCAGCAAAAAGGGGAAACGTATAAGGCTGAAATTGGGTGGGTTCCTTGAGTCTACATTTCAGAAGAAAAAAAAAGTTTTCGTTAAAACCCATCAGGGCATCTTTTTACAGTCCAATTTTCTAAATTTTTTTAGTGAGCCACTGAAACAGAGACAGAAAATTTAAAATCCCTCAGAAGTACCTATTTTATGGCTGAGTACAGGAAAAATCCTACTTTTGAAATATGTCCCCTTTGCGTAGATTTTAGGAGTGAAGTATTTCAAAATGCATTCTCCACCCTTACAAAAAGGGACACATGAAACTATTTCCAGTTAGACACACTAGAAGTCATAGAAGTGATGCTTTCGATAAAAATCAAGACTTTCGTCCCAATATGTCACGTATTTCAATGGGAACGTACTTTAAATACATGTTTGCCATTTCGCGAAGAATAATTGAATTAATCACAATCCAAGGTAGTGGAGCTCCGAAGGCGCGACCCTAGCGAGTTTGTTTGCCCGAAGGACAAACAAACTCGCTAGTATTGCATATAACAGATTCCTGAAAAGTTACGGCCAATCAACATTGGGAGCAGACTCTATAATACCCCTGTTGTTAGAAAGTTAGCATCTGGTGGCTGGGGGTCTTCTTGCATCCACTTAACTGAATTAAAACGCGCCTCTCTCGGCCTCCGCTTCGTGTACAGACCAAAATTATTCATCATTTGTCTATTCTCAAAGTAATGTAACCGTTTGCTAAATTTAATTGAATTCTGAGATGGTTGAGCAAAGACTATTGCTTCACTTAAGGTGGAATGATCCAGCTCTTAACTCTGGCGATGGGCATTGCATGACTTTAGCAAGGGTGCTGAAAAGAAACTGGCATGCATCTCAACAACTTGTAACTGTCCAATGTCAATCGCATAGCCTGTCTTTATTTGTTGCATTTACGTAGCTATGTTTCTTTCATAGAAAACGGTAGGGCATTTAAAAAAAATTAATCTTCTATATATAAATTATTTCTACCTTGTAGATCTAGTAGGTGATTCACACTTACCCTGGAATTCTGCTCGGAAGCGCTTTGTGAGCTCTCCACCCCCTAGGTTCACTAACAGTACTTCATCCCTTTCCTTTTCATTTTTCAATCGCTTTGCTATCTCCATCACAATAATAGTCTTTCCTGTTCCGGACCCTCCCGCCATGGGGAGGAGCCATGACTCTTTGAAGTCCCCCGTATGACTTTTGATTATCTCATTCTGTTGTGGTGTCAAAAAGAGCAATTGCTTCTCCAGCGTCTCCATTCTGGATTCAGTTACCAATTGATGCTCCTGTCGATTCCGCGGCATTCCAATAGAGGAAGATGCGCATACATACAGGGAAAAGATATCAAGGAATGCCTTGCACTTGCCCTCCGCATTGGAATCAGGCAGTTCTAGTACTCCATTCATTTTGAGAAAGACTTGAAAGGCTGTAAGACTGACCAGATCGTCTTTGGTCAAGATACGATTCGAACACGATTCACATAAATGTGATTCACATTTAACTTTTTTATTTAACATTTGCATCACTTTCCTCTCAATAAAGGGAAATGCGGGAAAGGTAAATATTGCAGTGTCAGGATGGTCACACATTGTTTTGAACGTAATTCCGTTGGCATAGCAGGTATGAATTGCTAAGGTGATTCTTGCTCTTATCATGCATTCATCATGAACGATCTCATCAACAGTCGAACGTGTTTCATCGACTGCGAAGAAGATGTTGTACACCTTACCTCTAGATGGATAAGAAATGAAAGCACAACGGAAGTCATTTTCTCCAAACACTGGTTTCACTTTGAAAGGTTTTTTACCATCTTCGTACATACGTTTTATGGCTCTCATGAAGATCCCATTCCGATTGAATGTTTCCGATAATAAATAATCAGCAACCACCAAAGACGGAGCCTTTTCACAAAGTCCCCTTGCTCGTTGAAAAACACCTGCAATTGCTTTGTGCATAGAGGGAAGACCCAAATCATCTCCTTTAGTACTTTCCTTTCTTTTCTCTGCCTCTTTAAGTAGATCATTGAAATCAATCTCTTTGACGCAGGTGTCCGATGGGAGGGAGAAGTGTCTTTCGCCTGCCTGATCATAGTACGTAGCGATGTATTCGTTTTTCGCCTTTTCGAAGTCTGTTGTATCGTTAGCACCAGGATATACCTGCATCGAATGGATATTTATTATTCATTTGGAACTCACGATACGTCATCAGAGAACTATAAATGATTGGAGATAGGGAAAGAGCATACAAGTAGAAATATGGAGCACATTGTGTATGGTAAGATGACATTATTTTCATGATTGCTTCTATCCCTAAAGGTTCACAGGACAAAATCAGCATACACAGCATTCAAATTTACTTCCTCTTTTGAAATGACTTTTGTGTAAGTGCAGGTATGTTTTACTCGCTCTGCGCCAGGACTTCACCCTTTCCCTACGATGGCTTGAATAAATTTGCAACATGTATAAATGCAAAAAATGGGATTACGACTCCTTACTTCTGTTAGCGAAGAAGCGTTACTCCTCTCGTTCATTCCGATGTTTGTTCAATCTAATGCATGTCTTATGTTGCGAGTAAAAGCATGAGCGGATAATTCGCGTCTCACTAGTTATAGCAGCTCCATTGGGTTTCTTCAAATTTTATCCAGGTACTTTCACTGATTTTAACTTTGAAGTAGGAACAATGAAATATCGCAATTTTTTACTATATCATTAATATACTATGAAATTGTACTTATAACTCAAAAGATAGGGTCATTATCTTACTGAAGGTATTTCTTTGGGATGCAGTCTAGCTCATGTCATGTCAGTATTTATCATGAAGATGATGGATCGCTTATATCACCACCATATGCTCATAGTACCAAAACAATCACTCAGATTCCCCTTTGTCGGAGTTGGTTTAGATTTTACGGATAGGGTTGCATGCATTTTTTTTTATATAGAAATTACTTTTATCCCTCTCTTCTGAGTTCTTGTTTAGTTTTTTTTTCTGCATTAAAATGCATATCTCAATGAAATATTCATGTTCAAATTTCTCGCAATCAAATCAGGCTGTTTCATGATTTTTAATGGTTCTGCAACTTCGGTGTTAATTAAGATTACACCGTCTTTTATTATGAGGGAGAATTTGGATTGAATTGGTAAGCCCCCTTTTGGGGCGCTTCCATCGAGTTCAGCAGAACATCCAGCAGATGGAATGTTAAGTATTAGTAGAATCCTTTACAGGTCTCTCCAGATCAGGGGAGCTGTGCACGGTTGTTTGAGTTTAAATCTTCATGCCTCTTATAAGTGCTGGCTTCTGATTTTGGAACACTCTCATGGTCTCGCTAAAATTATGAAGACAGTTGAGAGCATTTCTCTCCCTCCGTATTTGACTTGATTATTGATGGGTGTCAAGTTCAGCATTTCGCCTGCTAAGGATTGCATCTCGTTTGAACTGAGATTTTCGTTACGGACATTCGAGAATCTGATGACAGACAGAAGAGGCAACCAATAAAGAAGCAGAACATGGGTTATAAGGTAAGAATGGAGAATTGGGAACAATAATTTCACATTTTTTAAGTAGGGCAAGGAAAGTGGAAATGATTGAGGCTACCTCGAGCTACTGGAGGCAGAGTTGAGAGTCGCAGCTTCATTTATCTCTCATCTACATTAATTGCTTTGGTGCATTCCCAGCGAGATCGAATGCGTTTTACTGTTTCGCTGCAGTGCCTTCCTTTGATGAAAATGGAAGACGAATAAGTATTCTATGCTTTTTGTCGTCATGATGTTTTCGAATGGCATATTCCCGTAAATCATAACAAAATTATCCGGTATTTCTCGTAAGAATTCATACTTCTGGAAGTTTCTCTCTGCGAAGGGGCTTTTAATTCCCGAATATTTCCCGCAGCCGATGTTCGACGACATGCAATGTTGTTAGAATTATTTCTAGAAACGCAGTAGATGTAGAAAAGTGGAAGTTTGCAGGTAATCTTGCCTAACTCTTTCCTTTTCATTCGAAATGGGTTAGAGCACTGGAGGACGCAAGATGACGACAACGATTAAGCAGTCCTCGAAGTGTGTATTTTTCTATGCAAAACTGAACAGTGTTGCGCTTGTACAGCGTGAGTTCAAGCAGTTGCATGGAAAAATGAAGGGTCCAACATCGCAAGACATTCTTCGTTGGTCCAGACACTAAGAAAAACTGAAACAGTGACTAATGAAAAGGGACAGACGGTGCACACCTGCTGAAAGGGTGCACAAAATGCAGAGAGCAATGGTAAGAAGTTCTGTAAATTTTGCGAAGGTGCGTAATAGGAATTTTTACTTCACGTGAAGTGTATATGCCTATTACGACATGTCAGCGGATTGTCCGCTGCCCAAAATTGCCCAAACCAAAGCAGAATCCTTTGTCATGTTAGAGTCCTTGTTCCATACCAACGCTTGAACTCACGCTGTTCAAGCCCAACTGTTCAGTTTCGCATTGCAAATCACGCACTTCGCATTATCGTTTTTACCATCCGGCTTCCCACAGTGCTACCACCCACATAAAATGAAAAGTAGAGAGTAAACCAGACTCCTGCTAACTTCCACTTTTCTACATATACTACCTTTCTGGAAATAAAATTTTACTTTTGGATAAATAATTTTTAAACATTCTGTACTTTCCATTTTCTGTATGTGCTGATCTGATCGCGAAAAAAGGCTCCCATTAGTCGTCACTCTGAATGTGAATTTGTTTTGTCCTGGATCTAATTCTACTACTAAACAACCATCCAAGTGAAAATGGATTATGGAGTAAATGGAGTAAAAGAGCAGCATACCAGTATTTTTTGTCCTCTCAATTGTTGGATATCCTCATTACGTCTAGTATAGCCTGTCACTGACCTGGATATCCTTCAGGATATCATCCCTGAGCTCCTCTCTAAGTTTCCTTCGTTCTTCATTGTCTTCCTCTTGTGGATCAAGGATATAGTCACGCATTTTCTCGCACACCTCGCATGGGGGGTCATACTGTAGAATACGAAATTGACAGTTGCTTTTATACAAGATGAAGCTTCACATTAAGCGTAAATTCTTGCAAGGTTTTTTAGGACGGGCCATTTTCAAAATTGGCAGGATGCATGTCCCAGAGAGCAGGATTAATATAAGCACATTAAGCAGGGGAATTTTATGTTGCAATTTCGGGAGACTGGAAACATTAGGGAAGAAGTAGGAACCGACTTTCAATATGCCGTTATGAGTGAATGAAATTGGACTATTAAGGAGAGAACAGAAGATCCCTTACGAAAATGTCTTATGATTCCTATATATTCCTTTAGGAATATATAGGAATCCTAAAGGAATCCTATAGGAACCTAAAGGAGTCCTATAGGAACATAAAGGAATCTTATAGGAACCTAAAGGAATCCTATAGGATCCTATATGCCCCATAGAGTTCAGTTTGGGACCTATAGAGTTCCCTATAGAACCAATAGGGTTCCCCATAAGGCCTATAGGTTCCCTATAGTACCCAAAGGATTCTGTATAGGACCCATAGGGTTCCCTATAAAACCTATAGGGTTCCCTATAGGACCTATAGGATTCTCTATAGGACCTGTAGGGTTCCCTATAGGGTCTATAGGGTTCCCTATTGTGCCTATACGGAACCCTATAGGACCTATAGGACCTATAGGGTTCCCTATAGATCTTATACGGAACCCTATTGGCCTATAGTGTTCCGTTTGAAGTTCTCCTCTAGGCCACTGGATGGAAGTATTGGGTTCTCATATTTCTCAAAGGGCACAAAAGTGCCCTCCTCTTACCCAAGGAATCATCTCACACAAGAGAGTTTTGTACGTCCCCAAATGTCTCGCCTTGCCTCATTGTTGCAATCAATAAACTTCGACAGTTCCTTATTTGTCATCCCCATTTTCCCACCAATTGCCAGTCCAGCATCAAGAATCGCCACTTTCCCACAACGTTTCGCAATTCCAAATGCGAACCCAATATCCGCAGATGCCACAACCAGAGTACTTTTCAAAAACCTATAGGAAAGTCTATAGGTTTCCTATAGGACATTTCCGTAAGGGATGATGTATGGCCAAGAGAGTCTAGGTCATATTTGACCTTTTCCATACACATTCCCCTGGAGCAATCCTTCTCAATTGATTAACTTCTCTCCTTGGTAAGTGCATCGGGCTTATAGATATTCCACTGCTCATAGATGAGGGGAGTGACAAGTGAAGATGCGCTCATAATGCTAATATTCGGAAGTTCTTAAACCCCTTATTGCAACAGAATGCATTTTTTTTAATCTCATGATTCCGCACTTGTGGTAGAAAAGATGAGTGCTGGAAATGTATTGGCTTTATATGAGAGAAAGGCCTTTTATACTGTTTTCTCTTGTGGATAGTAATACTATATTAGTAATCGGAATTACTACCCTGTCAGCAAAAAAAAGATCTGAAAATAATATATGATATGAATTGTTCCATCCTCTGTCCATGCTGATTGGTTAAAAATCCAGTCATGGACAGTCCGCTGTTCAAGATCTTCTCAGAAGTTTCTTGCGAGGAAATGACGGAATTTTACTGACAAATGGCGATGCCGGGACACCTTAGACCAAGGATCCCAAACTCATTTTACTCTCCAATTTCGGACAACTCCATGAATCAAAGTATGAAGTTATCAAGGTAGTTTAGTGATGCCATGCAGGGACATCACTCAAATGAATACGAGGTCGAGGTCGAGCATTCCTTAATAGGGTAGACCAACTCATCTTAAAGCAACTACCTAGGTAGTGGCAGGTGAACCTCCTGCAAACCAGATGAGAAGTGCTCTGTTGTTGAAGGAGTCACCAGGATCTTCAATGACTACGACTAAAGAAGCACCCGAGGTTTTATTTAAGGTAATACCAGCGTTCCATGAAGTGTCCTTGGGAACGTTCTATTGACATGTTAAATGTCCATAATTTAGAGCAATTAAAAAGAGTTCAATTTACGTTTCCTGAATGACGTGAATTCATCTAAGACGTGAATTAGTCATTTCGTAGGGAAAGGTTCAATGAAAATTCTTTTTCAGGAGTCATCCAAAATGCCATTAATATCTTGGATACTCTCTATTCCTCTCTTAATTTGCATTGAGCCTAAGTAAGCCCTCTTCCCGTGGCAAGGGTCAGAGGCAGGGGCCACCATGTAGCGAATTAGTCTCGTTGGAAATACAATCTTCCCTTTTTCTTGGATAGTCTGGTGAAGGGATACAATCATACATGGTGATACGATCATACTACGGAAACTTACGCCATATTTGCAGTTATCCGATTTTAGGAGACAGACACGCCGTGCACTTAATTGCCTTTTCAAAGGAGTGTGTGTGTGCACTTAAAACTTTTCAGTTTCTTTCTCATTCCCATGAAGTCAGCTTAGAAATTGAACAATCCACCATCTCTCTCCTTCGATCTAACGCTGGCAATCAGCAACCGTATCCATGAATTATTTTTTGTATATTTTACTGCGATAAAACTGCTATTCAAGTGAGAATGAGTCTATCTGTAATAGAGAATCATCATTAGGTCACTCAGTTCCTTCATTTTACACCTTAATCATTCATGGTATTATTTTTAAATTCATTTCTGAGTTTTCTTCTTTATTCATTGATGTCCCTTTGTACATTAAATGTGAGATCACATATTAAATTGCACACGTTGCATGCGAGGACACTCTGAAGGCGAAATTTAGACAATCTCTGGAGGCTATAATTTATTTTACATCATTACTTCACTATTAATCTTGACATATTGCCGTTAGGCGTATACTTTCGAAAGGTAAAGAAAGCTCAGAGTTGACAGAAGCTGAAATAAATCACACTTTTCAGAAACATTCATATTGAGACACTCTCTTAACTTTGATAATAAGTCATGTAATTTCTGAAACAGTCGACCAATGTCAATCGACCAAAAAATCAAGGCTTTAGTGGCTAGATGCGAGCAGCGGGATGAACGGGGAGGCGGCGACAACTCGGAGTATTTTGTCTATGCAGACGTGTTGTATCGAAAACACGTGCCCCCTTCCTATCGTCCGAACCAGGATGTTCGTGAGCAAGTTGTCGTTCCTAACAGTATGGTTAGGAAGGTGATAGAACTAAACCATGTCCCTCCCTTGTTAGTCCATTTTGGTTATAAGAAAACCCTCCACCGAATCAGGCAGCAGTTCATGTGGGAAAGGATACGTAGCTATGTGTAAGCTATATGTAGATATGTAAAGAAATATGTAGCTTCTTGTCCTTTGTATCAGGAGCGAAAGACAAGTCCTCATGCAAAACCATCCCCACTTCAGAGATTCACAGCTGTCAGGCAACCCTTCGAGTTGGTACGCATGGACATTCTTGGGCCACTGCCGTTGACAGCCGAAGGAAACAAATATCTGCTCCTGTTTACCGACTACTTGTCCAAATGGGTCGAGGGTATGGCACTTCCCAATCAAAAGTCGGAGACGATAGCGCGGGCGTTCATTTCAGAGGTCATAGCCAGGCACGGTGTGCCATAGAAATTACTCACGGACAGAGGCACAAATTTCCTGTCCTGTTTCCTGAAAAGTGTGTATGCTTTCTTGGGAATTCAGAAACTAAACAATACCCCTTACCATCCTGAAACCAATGGGGCCAACGAAAGATTTAACAGGACTCTACACAAATGCTCTCCCACTACGCGGTCGTCGACCAGCAGGATTGGGATGACTGGCTCCAATTCGTACTCTTTTCTTACCGCACCGCAATGCATGAAAGCACTCGAGAAACCCCTTTCTTTCTCTGGTACGGAAGAGATGCTCAGCTTCCGTTCCATGAGGTCATCAAACCGTCTAGACCGAACTATGCGGTTCTAGAGGACAATAAGGCAGAGCTAGTAGCTAGGCTGAGAAAAGCTTTCGAAGGTGCCAAAGAGCAATCGAAATTGGCTAGCGAAAGAAGAAAGAGCTATTTCGACAAACGCGCTGTTCGGTCCGACTTGAAGCTAGGTTTTGTTGCATTCACCAGCAGTGAGCCTGGGGTTAACACATAAACTGGCAGGGCCATGGAAGGGACCTTACCGAATTGTGGGACAAGCGGGTCCAGTAACTTTTCATGTCCAAAAACCAGAGGACAGGGAGGCACATTTGGTGCACGTAAATAGGTTGAAAAGATTTTACGAGCCCATCCGG